AGACAATGAAAAGTGGAAAGACCTCACTGTAATGAACGGCTGTAGTGACCTAAACAAAAACGGCATGAATTTATTGCTGTTTCGCGTAAACAACAGCTGCCTGTTATGAACATTTTTATAGCATCGAAGTGTGCATCAGCATACTTGGTACAGGGAAGCTTGTACAGAGAAGTCGATGATAGATTTGATAATCATACTGTTCTGACTGACAACGTTCTGTAATGCATGCTCGCGTTAAAAGAGGGACACCGCTCATCAACCGATCACCAACTTGTTCTTTGCACGACACGCTGTAAGAAATAGAGTACAAAGATCTGGTGGCAGAAACAACCAGAGAATCAAATGGGAAACATTATCGAGAGCGAAATTTGCAAACAGCATCGAAAGACGGCTTCAACAGATCCCAGTGATGCCCACTCATGTGCAAACTGAGTGGCAGCTCCAAAAGAGCACTATACTCGAGACCTTGCCGAATGCTGCGGATTTAAACGCGCCGGCCTGCCGCTGGGGGTCAAAAAAGAACTTCCTGGTGGACACCAATGGTACAACTGGCATTTAAACAGAAGGCTGCAATCAAGAATGGTTTGGTAAAAAAGAGCCTTCTACTCGCGTCATGTCGAGGCATGCAAAGCGACAGAAAAAGCAGTGGCGAAAGCCAAAGCTGATTCCTGAGAGAAGTTCCGTGAGGTGTTAGAGTCGAATTTGCACGCAGGAAACAAGGTATTCTAGCGGACCATTCGCCGGCTCATAGGTAAAAAGAACGGCGGTCTGAGAGTCTTGAACGACAGGTCTAGACACTCTGTTACGGAGGATGAGGACATTCTTCGGCAATGGAGAAAATACTCTGAACAACTACTTAACCTTTAGAGCCGCAGGAAGACTCGCCTGTACAGCAGAAGGGTCCGGATATTACTATCTCTGTATATGAAATTACCAAGCTCTGAAAAGCCGGAAAAATGGAAAAGCTGCTGGAACTGATGAAATCCGCCCTGAGATGCTCAAGGCATTAGGTGAACAAGGCATGTGGTACCTTACCCATGTATCTCAAACTATAATGACTACAGGGATGACACTAACGAATTGGAGAAGGGGAGTTGCTGTACGTCTATTAAAGAAGGGAGACCACATGGTGTGCTCGAATCATAAACGCGTTACGTTATTGCGCCTTCCAGGTAAAGTATACGCAAAGGTGCTATTAACAAGGTGCCGCGTAATAACTGACCCCAAGATAGAAGAAGAGCAGTGTGGCTTCAGGCCCGGTCGAAGCACCTTTGACCATTATCTGCCTTGCGCGAGATTGTTCAGAAATCATGGGAATATGACCATCTCGTGTTTATGTCTTTTGCCTACCTCTAAAAAGTCATCATACCTGCGAGCATACGGGATAGATGGCTAGCTGCTACCGGTCATATGATCACTGTGTTCTGATAGCAGGTGCAGCGTTAGAGTACATGGCAATAAGTCGAAGCCCTTCAACGTTGGCAGCAGTCTCACCATAGGCTGCGTCGTGTTTCCTCTCTTGTCTGAGTTGTACATGGATAGAATAGTCAGAAACAACCAAGGCGATGACAGTATCGGTGTAGGAAATGTGGAAACGAGAATGCAGCTGTTTGCCGACGTCCTTGTTTTTTCATAATGACCTACATTGCTGCCTGAAAAGTTTCGCAGCCGAGTGCGACGTAGACGCCATTAGTGTCAGTGTATCTAATACGAAAAACCTAGTGCTTTCTCGTTTTCCTGTTCAATGTTCTTTTCAGATTAACGGAGTGGCAGTGGAGCAGGTGGACAAGAGGAAGTACTTTAGAGTTGCGTTCGCTAGTGATGGAACATCTGAGTAAGAGATAGACCGGCGAACGGGAGTAGACAGCGGCGTTCTGAGTGAATTAGACCGCAGCATTATGACTAAAGCAGAGCTGCGTCTGAAAACGACGCTATCGATAACCAAGTCGATTTTTATCCCCATGCTTAACTGCGGTCATGAGTCGCTGACCATGAGGGAGAAGCTTCGAACCAGAGTAAGTTTGCTCAGTGGGCTTTCTTAGACGATTCGCTAGCCTTGTGCGTCTCGAAATGGTCCGGAATACGGATATCCGCTAGAGCCTCGGTATACAGCTGCTGCTTCTTCAAGATAAGAAGTCACAGCTGCAACGGTGTCTGCAGGTGTTGCGAATGCCACCAGGAAGGAAGGTTAAACAACTGTTTATTGCACAACCGACCGGTAGAAGACCCAGGACGACCAAGATAACCTAGTGCAAATACATGGAAGGAGTCTGTTCTTCTGTCTTCCGCGGAGGCTCAGATTCTGGCACAGGATCGAGGACGTTGTAATTACTGTCTGACGCCTATGTCTCCGCGACCCGAAAGGAGAAGCAGTCATGGAAGACATAGATGAAGACTATTCATTCATTTATCCCATTTTAATGGTTTGCTGTTTGTACTAAACTGAGACCTCAGATTCAGAGATTAATGTTCGGATTATCTGCCAACAGAGCAAGCCGCATGAAGAGAAATTCACTCGAGCATAGATTTACAAATCTGGAAACTTTACAAAGTTCTTGCCAATCAGGAAATTACTGGCCGCTTTAACTTCATTATTAATAGTTTTCTTTCATATGTTAATCGGCAAAGGCAACTGTTGGGGCTAAGTAATAAGCAGAAGACCTGAGAAAGCTGTAACAGTCTTTACATTGTTCCATCTAACGCAATACGTTAAAATTACCTCAATCAGCTGATTTCGCCATCTCTGGTACAGCATTGCTAATTCACCGGATGTCTGCTGAAGAGCCAGCCTTTTTTGCGCTTTTGTTTGAGCTTGCAGCAAATCAGCTAAGCCTTCAACCTCAGTCAGATCAAGCTTCCCATTAAGAAACGCTCTAAAATCGAAAATTTAGTCAAATACACGCATCCATCATATGCATTCAAACAAGCAAGGCCAGTAATAAAGCTACTAAACAATCTGTTTATGCCATGTACAGCATCTATTACCAGGCTATACACACTAAAATAAACTAGTCTGCTTCTCTGTGTACATGTTGTCACAGACAGTGGTGAATCATCCATACCGGAATGGATTGGAATTAATTCGCTGTTCAGTGCAAACCGAGAATTTGTCGGTTTACCGTATTACTGTTAAATTTACCCGTATGTCTAAGCCATTACACTTTTCTGCAGGTGGAAGTTTCCGCTGTGGCTCAGGTTTTGCCAGAAACGTATGTGATAATGCGGTAAAAATTATATAGTGCTGTGAACTGAAAACATTACATATTACTATCCCTGGGATATATCAGTCCCGACACAACATATCTGTATTTCAGGTATAACGTGCAAAGTCTAATTCAGTCACAAGTTAACCTACGTATCAGACTTGGTTTGTAATTTGTCGATAAGCGCTAATAATCTAATACATACAAATAAAATCAATATGTAATAATATTATCAGAATATGATATGCACTGTTATACCGCACGTCTAATATTATCCATACGGTTCTCGAATAAAACATCAAGGTGAAACATCCGCAATACTGCAGCGTGGGAATGTTCGTGTAGCGTACTATCTGAATATGGGTCATAGTTTTCCCTTTTGAACTGTACACTAAAACTACAACAGTCCGGAATGGAAGTTTTCTCCTCCTCTAGTTTGTGGGAAAGCTAGGTGTTTTCGAAAACGTGACACAGATTTCCGTGAAAATTGTTTGGATGCTTCCATCTATATGGCCATTTTCTGAAGTTTCGTCAACGTACTTGCACAATGACTGTGGTCTTGTTCAACTGATTTCAGCGTCATTTCCTCTGATAACTTCATCTACATCTGCACACCAATGTGAGATATCAGAAATCGCATATCACAATCGATCAGCTGGTCAAAGTTCTTTTCAACTGCTAATAATTGGGTTGATTTAGTTGTCAACACTGAGCATATTTCTGCGTTTCTATTGTACATTGATGCTGATAGGTGGCTGCTTCATCAGTTTCATCACAAATGATCAGCTGAATAGAAATTGTCAAAGATCTCAGCAGCAAACAGCAACAAACGCATTTTTTCAAGCATCACTGCTACAGGAGGAAGTAAGCAGAAAGACACCTGATAGAATGACATTCAGTCACATTCACTGCGTCGCTGTATCACCAGGATGATAAGATACCAGAAATTGCAAGACCTGGCGACAAAGACTGTGCCAAACTCAGTCATCTGTACATGACGCAAATTACCACTACAACATATCACATGACCAAAGATGGAACTATTAAGGTTTATCAGCTTATCCGCTTATGCAACGTGCGTTGCTATCAGCACACTAAGAACATACTGCTGTGTAGAAATGCGAGAATGCTTTCTGGTAATATAGGTAGTTATGCTTCCGATATTATCATCATCAGCCTATTTCGATCCACCGCTAGACGAAAGTCTTTACAAAACTTTCCCATCTTTCCCCACTTTCTCTTTATGCCATTTTCAACCATCTTAATCCAACGAACTTCTTCAACTTATCTTTTCATCGATCTTCAGGTATACTTATGGGCCTGTCCTCTCTCCTGGAACCCAATCTACTATATCTGTAGTCCAGAGAGGGTCGTTTTTTTTTGTAAAGTGTCTACCTACGGCAACTTTGAATCTTTTACTTTCTTTAGGGCAACTGCATCGCACTCTTGCTTATGGTGTTATCAATTAATTCGTCTTCCCATCATTTCTTATCATTCCCAGCATATATTTTCCATGCGACGCACATTATGAGTTTTTGGGCACAGAGCCAACGTTTCTAACCCATATGTTAGCACTCGGAGAACAATAATCGAATACTCCGTTTTAAGCACAAAGACAGTTTCCCGGAGAGGAACATTTTCAGTCATTCAAAAGTACTCACGCCATTATTATTCATCTGTTGATTTCACAATCGGTTCTCCGTTGCAGAGATACACGTAGATGTGCAGTTTTCTCAATAGTAAGTACGATAACTTCAACGGGTCGCACGGTATTAGCTAAACGCTACGGCTGAATCATATTCAGATTCATTTCCAGCTCCGTTGTCAAGCAGGCGTCGTTCAGCTTTTGGTTTCTTATTTGGAGATTCCTTGTGACCTTCGCAAGAACACTGTGCCGTCAGCAAACCAGATGGATTAAGCTGTGCCCAACTGATCAGAATTTGACTTTCCCAAATGAGCATCTTTAAAACCTCTTCTAAGGCTGTTTTAAATAACTTTAAATAACTAATGAAACTGCATCACCCTATCTAACGCCCTTTCCAATTTTCAACTTGCTTGTGCTTCCACAGAGCTTCACACTAACAGTCGCATCCTTGTAAATCATGACGATTACCTCTCTGTACCTTTTCTTGATTCCCTTACTCCTTAAGGAATGCATATGGAAGAGATGCAAACTGAGTAGAATGACTTAATGAAATCGATGAACCCACGGGAGAGAGAAAGCTGATATCCGCTGTTTGTCTGAATTCCTACAAACTGTCGCAGCAAGAGTCAAGTGCTAGCAAGTTCGAAAACAGCGGTAAAATAAGAAGAAAAATTACAACCGACAGCACAAGTCTACTTGGCATCAACAACGTTCAGCCCGTTCAGCGCTATTTTATATATCGCCCAATGCCGTACCAAAAAGCAGGGAGAGCGTTAGACGCTGTTTTTAACAACCTACCGTACAATATCGGTCAGTCGATTTTCAGTACGCTAATCGCCCTGTTGTATATCCTCTACGTTACAAATAAGATCTACTCTGGAATACAAAAGTAGTGCTAAATCTGAACCAAAGGCTAATCAATCAAATGGGAGGGGGATCAGAGAAATTAGAGTTGCGTAGCAGAGAGGTTAAAATCTACACAACACTGCCTAATGATTCAGCGCAATAAGAAAACGCGGCCTGTACCTTGCCTTGTGTTGGGAACCCTGTTCAGTTCAGACAGGAATTCCTTTCAAATGGCTGCCTCAGTCTCTACAGCATGATCATCGACAATATTTTGCAGGCGTTAACAATAGGGCATTTGCGCGAGAGTTCTAGCATTAGGTGCTATGATGACCTCTGGAATTATGATTCCGTTCTTCCACTCTTCTAGAAATTTCCTCTCCATTCCTCTCCCACGAAACTGAGCAATATATAGAGCTCCTATAGAATGTCTTCGCCACAGGATTTGATCAACACTGCCTGTATCCCTTCTAAACCACAGGATTTTTACACTTTTAAATGTGTCAAGGATCTGTTTATTTACTCGACATTTGTGGATTAAAAGATATCTTAAGTAGCTTTCAGTTACTGTCAAGATTCAGTATAGTCTGGACCGTAAGAGTTCAACAGGCTTGTAAAACGACTGTCGCTTTTGGCGACTGACCTGATCTGACAAGAGATCACTCCGTACATCATCGACGATGCCCATGTGAGGAGGTGCCCACTCGGTCAGTTTCTGTTCCGTTTGAAAAACAGAGGAGTCGTCCGGCTTGACTGAGGTTCTCAACTTGCCAGAATCTGAGTCTAGCCACATCTGCCTTTCTCAGCAGTATTTCTTGTTCATAGCCCTGTCAAAAGTCGGGAATCTAGGAAAGTTTACCGACTGCAATTCACTGATCAGAAAATTCACCGACCCACAATTAGTGGAAAGGAGCATTCACCGATTGTACAACCGATTTATTTATCAAAATTTATTACGATATAAAAATATAGGTATTTACCAAAAATCAAAGCAGTACTATTTTGAAACAGCATATCTGAAAGATTATGTTAATGAGAAGAATAACTACCATAATATTACCTACTTACACAAAAACATTTATCTAATGCATTTATTGAGAAATAGCATATGTGAAAGATTATGTTAATGAGCACAATAATTACCATGTATTACCCCTATATAACGCCTCAGAAATTTAAAACAGGCAAGCTTCAAAAAGTTCTTCGAGTGTGATGCTTCTGTTACGGATTTTCATTAACCATCATGGCCTTTAAGATAGTCATGAGTGAAAGGGAAAACAGAAACTTTTAATGGACGGTCACTTATTTTTAAAAGAAAAACAAGCTGACAAGACATATTGGAAGTGTGAGATGTATCAGAAGCACAAGTGCCGGCTTCATGTAATTATAGTTGGAGATGCCGTTGAGGCCGTGAAGGGAGTTCACAACCATATTAGGGATACAGCTCATAGAAAAGCTTTGAAGATGGAGGATGTTGTACATGACTGTGCAATAAATAGCCAAGAAGCATCCCAATATATTATATCTAATGCGTCTGTGGGATTTAGCCAAGCTGCTGCAGGCCATATTTCGAAGACCGACAGTATCAAAAGAACGATCCGAAACATCAGAATAAAGAAAGAAGCAACACCAGCTGTGCTTATGACCCTAGAGGAAACTGTATCTCCTGAGAAGTACAAAATTACTAAACAAGGCAACAGTTCTTACTCTCTGATTCAGGACCGACGGAAGATATAACTGTTATGTTTTCTATCGCAAGAAATCCCCAGTTATTAGCCTCATATGAACAGTGGTTTTGGGACGGAACTATCACCGCACTGCCTTATTTGTTTATCTAACTCTATACACTGCATGGTTTTCAGGTGAACCATTCAATTTCGCTTTTGTATCCTCTACTATCAAACAAGAGAGAGACCACATATGTTGATTATTGCAACAAGTAAAACAGCTTCAACCTGACGCCTTCCCAGAAACAATTATTACCGCTTTCAAACCTGCCATAGTCAGTGCTATTCGTCAAGAATTTCCAAGGCCGAGATTCCGAGGATGTTTCTTCCGTTCCTCGCAGTGCATATTCCGAAAGATTAAGGCAGAGGATTTAAACTGACGTCGAATTCACCATAAAATACGGTTGCTGTCTACATTGACTTCTGTTCCAACAGAAGATGTGGTAGAAGCATTTGGGGTTCTTAACGGTGATAACATGCCTGATGAAGCACAAGGCTTGTCTAATTACTTTGAGGACTGTTGGACTGGACGTGCTCAACGAAACGTGGGACGACGAATGCCCCATTTCTCCCTAGAAATGTCGAACTGTCACGAAGACACCGTCTTCCGATGACAAACAATTCGATTGAAGGGTGGCAACGTGGATTCGAAATACAAATATCTGCACAACATCCTAATATCTAGAAGTTTACTGAAGCCAATTAGCGTGAGCACAGCATCAGAATATTGCAAATAGAACAATATGTGGGTGGACAACAAGGTAGCCATGGGCGT